GTTATATTAGACAGCGGCACCTAAACCTTCTAAAAATTCGAATTATTTCTGGAAATAAAATATACTGTCATATGTTAAATCAAATTTACATGCCGAAAAGGTAGATATTCATACAAATTTTGGTGATTTTTTCGAAAGCATTTGGGTTAAATTGGTTGCGGGTAAGTGTGAACTGTTAGTAGGTGTTTTGTACCGCCCACCCCCTAAAAACATACAACAATGTGCAAATTTATTAAATGGTTTCCTACCCAGCCTCTCGTTATATCATCATAACATCGTGATATTGGGAGATCTGAATATGAATTTTTTTAATGACAATACATTTTCACTGAGTTTTGAGCTGATGGGGTTCACACAAATCGTAACGGAAGCCACCCGTGTCACAGATAGTACTGCAACATTAATCGATCCAATATTTTTAAACAATCCTCAAATATGCAGCTATTCTTCCGTCATGGACACGAATGGTATTTCGGACCACAAACTTGACATTTTGACATTCCATCTTATAAAAGAAAACAAAAATTTATCTCAATCAGGGATTTTAAACACTTCAGTGAGGATGATTTTCTTATCGATCTTTCTACATCGGGCATAGATGAATTATTTACGAAATCTAATATTTATGAGAAGGTAATGCAAGTTTTAATGACCCTACCAAAATTAATGATTATTTTATGTCTGTTTATAGCTACAAACCTGTTGATTCACTAGTTTGCGAAAACTATTTCAAAAATAAATTAAGCTCTGAATATATGTTTTCATTGAATAAGATTAGTTCAAATGACGTATTACAGGCAATAGGGAGCCTAAAATCTGATGCGGAGGGAATTGATGGTATATCCCTGTCAATGATCCAGCTTTGCCTGCCAGTTATTCTCCATCACATCGTCCACATCTTTAACGACTGTTTGGAAAAAGGCTACTTTCCAAACACATGGAAACAAGCTCTAATTATTCCAATTCCCAAAAAAATTAAACCCACTGAGTATAATGATCTCAGACCTATCAGTTTATTACCAATTTTATACAAAATTTTAGAAAATTAGAGACCGCTTACCTAGAAAAATTCTTTATACTTCCCGATACTCAATCCGGTTTTAGAAAAAATTATGGTACAACATCTGCCCTACTTAATCTGCAAGACAATATTTTAAGTGCCTTAGATAAGAAAATGGCACTAGCCTTAATCTCTATAGACTATTCGAAAGCCTTTGACACCATCAATCATAAATTATTACTTGCTAAATTAAATTACATAGGTCTTGACAGTGTATCCCTTTCATTTTTCGACAGTTGCCTTCATCAAAGAACCCAGTGTGTTTTTCTCAATCAAGAAATGTTTCAAGTGACAATAATTCCCTCAGGCGTACCTCAGGGCTCTGTATTGGGACCGCTTCTGTTCCTCATATATACGTTCGACTTAAGCAAAGGTATTGATAATTCTCATGTCGATACGCAATTGCTCCATTATTTTAACCCAGATAATGTCAATAATACTACTCAAATTTTAAAAAACGATGTTAATAAATTGATTAAATACTCTTTAGATCACAATCTACTTATTAGCCTAATTATTCCAATTCCTAAAAAAATGAAACCCACTGAGTATAATGATCTCAGACCTATCAGTTTATTACCAATTTTATCCAAAATTTTAGAAAAAATTATAAAGTTCCAATTGACCGCTTACCTAGAAAAATTCTTTATACTTCCAGACACTCAATCCGGTTTTAGAAAAAAATATAGTACAACATCTGCCCTACTTAATCTGCAAGACAATATTTTAAGTGCCTTAGAAAAAAAATGACACTAGCCTTAATCTCTATAGACTATTCGAAAGCCTTTGACAGCATCAATCATAAATTATTACTTGCTAAATTAAATTACATAGGTCTTGACAGTGTATCCCTTTCATTTTTCGACAGTTACCTTCATCAAAGAACTCAGTGTGTTTTTCTCAATCAAGAAATGTCTCAAGTGACAATAATTCCCTCAGGCGTACCTCAGGGCTCTGTATTGGGACCGCTTCTGTTCCTCATATATACGTTCGACTTAAGCAAAAGTATTGACAATTCTCATGTCCAGTCATTTGCAGACGATACGCAATTGCTCCATTATTTTAACCCAGATAATGTCAATAATACCACTCAAATTTTACAAAACGATGCTAATAAATTAATTAAATACTCTTTAGATCACAATCTACTTATTAATCCACAAAAATCTAAAATGTTATTATTTTGCGCACAAAGAAAAACATACAATGTAACACAGCTCTTGAACATTCAGATAAATAACCAAATTTTGCAATTTTATGATTCTGCAAAAATTCTTGGTGTTGTTTTTGATACAAAATTAAGGTTTATTGAACATGTTAAAAGTCTATCTCAGAAAACCTACCTACGCTAGCAAACAGGTATTTACAAAATTTTAAGTTGCGTAAAAAACTATGTGAAGCATTGGTCATATCTATGTTATACTAAATTATTGTAATATCGTATACTATACTTGTTTAGACAATTTCACTGAAAACGTTATTCAAGTTATTCAAAACAATTGTAGACGATTCATTTTTGGTTTACATAAATTTGATCATGTATCAGCGAAATATCCCGTTCTAAACTGGTTAAAAATTAATGACATGGTCAAGTATCACTATTCAGTTTTTGTTCATAAATTGCTGCTCACGTCTAAACCTTATTACTTGAAGGAAAAAATTTCATTTAATAATGATGTTCACTGTAGAACTCTCAGAGAAAATAATATTAGAATACCCCTGCATACGTCTACACTTTTTAAACGCAGTTTTTCTTACAATGTTGCTATTATTTATAATGACCTTCCTAAAGTATATAAAGAATTTTCATTACCTGTCTTTCGACAAAAAGTTAAAACATTATTACTCAACCCTCCAAACATATAATTTACGTAATCATTCATTTCTTTTTTATTTCATCTTTAATTCAGATTAATAATTTTTTAGTGCATTTGAGTTTGGAAAGTATGCCTTTTTCTCTTTTGTGTGTTAAGTGTAAGAGTAGCAGCATGCTAAACTTCGCCATATAAGTCTGACATTTGGCTATACTACAATGTAATTGTGGATAAATAAAGATGTCTATTATTATTATTATTTACATACGATTCTGGAGCTTGATACTAACTGAATTTCCATCCTTCAAATTAATAATTCCGATATCGCATTGTCTTTAGATATACATATAATTGGCCATGATAATTTTCTGATTACTATATCGAAATTAACATAGAGGCAAATCTGTATGGCACCAAAGTCATCTCGAAACTAATTTCAATAATAATAATTGTGTTCTTAAATGATTGAAGAAAATAAATAAATATTTCGTGAAACATTTTTAAAATTATGCATTGCACCAATTTCAATTTTTAAAACAATTATTGAATATAAGGTTTTTTGAAAACTGATAGCTTTACATTAAATTTAAAACCAGTAAGTAGTAGCATACCAACACCACATACTAAACTAGCTTATCTATTCACCTATGTTCCTATGCGTCAACAATTTATGGTTTAAACGTTTTTTCCCTATACAAATTCCAAAGTTTCTCTTAAGTTTTGAAACTAATATTCTTTGTGACATATAAGCGATTTCATATTTGAAAAATTGCGAAATATGTCATTTTTGACCCCACAAACAATATGAGAAAACGAAAATTTTAATGTTACCAAAGCCATTGCATCTCTCTCGCACAGAAAATACATAAAACGCACGAATGATACTTAGAAACAAAGGTTATAATAACAGTCCCCCTAAAATGCTTTGAGATTTTATTAATATTCGTTTGGAGAATATATAGGAACGTTGGCAATATCAAAATTTTCGTTTCCAGATATTGTTTTTCGAGGTCGAAAATGTCGTATTTTGTACTTTTTCAAATATCAAATCGCTTATATCTCGAAAACTATCTAGAGCTATATTTTTTGTCCAGAATAGACTAGAAAATTTAATTTTTGGGATCTGTTTAAACAATTGTTTAAACAATTCATGACGCAACTTTCGCAGAATCGCAGATAGAGCTCCTTTTGAATCGGATTATGCAATGCGAATAAGAATATTCTTCTGAGGAGATTCAAAGATACTCCCTGAACTACTATTATTCCACACTCACTGTAGCAGCATCAAATCATTGCTATAGGTTATATACGTATGTATAAAATTGTAGGAATTCAAATCAATGGCAATGATTTTTACCAGAGCGAATATTGGTTTATTCCATAACAGGCAACCAAAATATCCTTAACTCACTTTCATGATTTTCAAGCAAAAATATCATGCATAAACTCCGATACTGCCCAGGTATGGTCATGATACTATTATAGTATAAATTATATTTTCAAAATGTACCGTTTCCACTTTAAATAACAGAAAGTTAGTGGATTGTAAACAAGTTTAGTGGTCATAAAATCCATAATAGCCCAGTACTCTCTATTAACAGTTTGAATACTCAGAAGTATTTTATTGACTTTTATCGATTCCAATCAGGTGCAAAGTTTATAGCTAGTTTTATAGACTGGCATATTTCATGGTATATTTCCAGGCATTATGTTACATATTAAAATGCATTTGAAGATACATAAAATAAGCTTTTTGGAACTCTTTGTAGTACTAGAAGTACTGCATTAACATGTGTTGTATTTATACAAGGTGATACCAATGTACGCGCTTTTAAGTTTTGCATATAGAAATATAATAGGCCGCGCGGATCGAACATCAGTACTGAATCTTAACCTCACTTTTTAGTAAACTTAAATTCAAAGTTTCAAAACAATACGTGCAGTGTTCTCACTACAGTGAATTTTTAAGTGTCACCAAGTCATTAGAAAATTGGAACTCAACCGAGAACATTTTCGCGCCATAATTTATTAGAACTTTCAGAGACAATTATCGCAACAAGAATGCCTTGCTGAGTTACTGTCTATTTTTGCAACGAAGCGCCACATCAGTCGACAATTTCCCCCAGGAAAACGTCGATGCTGTGTGCAAACTCATCATTGAAGATAGACATGTGACATATCGCGAGACTGAGGCATCCTTAAGAATCTCAAAGACCTCAATTCAAAAAATTTTACATGAAAAATTAGGAGTAAGAAAATTAGTTTCTCGTTGGATACCCCACCTGTTGACTGAAGAGCAGAAAGCAGCCAGGGTTAATTGGTGTCAAAAAACGCTTGACCGTTTCAATTCCGGAAACTCAAAAAATGTGTACAGCATTGTTAGTGGTGATGAATCGTAGATTTACTGTTATAAACCAGAAAATAAATGACAGTAGGCTGTTTGGGTGTTCGAAGGTGAAGAAAAGCCAACAAAAGTCATCCGTTCTCGAAGTGTTTTGAAAAAGATGGTCACGATATTTGGGTCAAAAGCAGGTCATATTGCAACAATTCCTCTTAATGAGCAAATAACTGTTACTGCGGATTGGTATACCACCATTTGTTTGCCAACGGTCATCAACGAGCTTCGGAAAATCAACCCCGAAAGAAGAATCATCCTCCACCAAGACAATGCAAGCTCGCACACAGCCCAAAAAATAAGGCAGTATTTAACGGAAGAAAACGTGGAATTATTGGACCATCCTCCATATAGTCCCGATCTAAGTTCTAACGATTTCTTTACTGTCCCGAAAAATAAAAAAAGACTGCGTGGTCAAAGGTTCCAGTCACCAGAAGAAGCAGATGACGCATTCAAAAATGCCGTTTTGTATCTGCCAGCAAACGAGAGGAATAAGTGCTTCGAAAACTGATTCGAGCGCATGCAGATGTGTATTAATATTCGTGGAGAATACTTCGAAAAACATTAGTCATTTAAAACTACCTACCGTGTTGTTTTATTTCCATATGCAAAACTTAAAAGACATCCCTCGTACAGACAGTTGTAGGCATATTTGTTTGTTTAATGATCTGGCTCTTATATACCTATATGTCAACGGGTTTTTGTTCCTCTCAGCTCCCCTGCATGACGCTGTCCCGCTCTACGCCTGCGAGACGAACCTGTCAGACTGCTGCTTTTAATTTCAATTCTGATCAACTTTACATCGGCTCTCTTTTAAATAAAATGTTGCCAATATAATGCAATTCTATTATCTGGTTGGTGCAACCGCTCCATTGCTGAGATTTTTGAACAATCAGCGCAAAGTCCATTTTCAGTGATAGAAAATCAAATCAACATGATACCTTTACCTTGCTTTATCAGTACCGTTATCTTGATATTTAGGTTTCGCCTTTGCGGCTGCCAACGTGCGTTAAAATCGTAAGCTGAATGTCACACGATCAGTATTAACTGCGATCCGTTAGTATTCACCATGGAATGTAATAACTGCGGTAATATTAATTGACCGTGTAGCCAAGGGTCTGTAACCCTTGATGAGTAAGGTTACGGACAAATCAAGTGACACTGACGGTATGGTCAGTAAATACTGAGGGCCCACTGCTTTATCTATGTACTTTTGCACCGCCAAAAATACCAGAATTTTTAATTCTGATGTCTATATTACTTTCATATTTGTCTTTCTTACCCCAATTTTGACTCCATATTCGTGTTCAGAGAAAAAAAAATACGTAGAAAAAATTTAATGAGACCCTCAACACAACACTTTTTATTTTTTTATGCGTCGTTCCTATCCATTTTCTCTAAAATTTGTTCACCGATACAGGCTCCCAATTCTGAGTTTATATTCGTATTCAACGTGCAAAAATACATGGGAAAAATACAGTCGGACCCCAAGCACACACCACTTTTTTATTTTGTGGGTCCGTGTTATCAATAATTTAGCTCTCTTCTACCGCTACGTCAACAAGCTTTGCTCTTCGGAGCTCTTCTCCATGATGCTGCCGCACGATGTGCCTTTCATACAAATCCGCCGACTTTGTCCTCCCAGCTTGACCCTGTCAAACCACGTACATCCAGAACTGGCCGATACGGCCGCTCGTTTGCGCCAAGGGTATCGGGATTAAGAAGTTTCTTTAAGCTCCCTGGCATTTAGGTTTATGCCTGCGCGGCTACATAGGTGTAAAAAAATAATTTTGCGTAATTTTATGAAAATATTCTGATTTTTAACGGAGCAATGCATATGCTATATCCAAAGTGTAAAATACTGGCTTTACATATATTATACTGATCAAATATTGGAAATGGTTTTAATGAAAACATTATTTTGTTATGAACATTTACCCACTCTTGTCTTAATTATGTATTGTTTCGATACAATACCAGCTACTATAAAATCCAATAATTTTTGCCTAAATAATATATGTGCCTCCATAGCGTTCAGTGATCCAATCAATTACTGTACGGTAATCAATTTAACTATATTAAAAATTTATTATGCAAAATGCACCTGAAAATTATTATTTATTAAATTACTGTGTTATGTATTCCGATATGATATTCCAATTATAAACAATACAATATTGATCTACTTAGGCATTCGACTTCCATGACTTTGTGCCAAAACAGGGTGATAAAGTTCACTTCGATGCATTCCAAGATAAGATTCCAGGCGGAGGAAATACGTATACAAGCAAAACCAAATTTAACTGACAGCTTGAGTTTAATGTGTACGAGAGAGACGTGCGATAAGTGTTAGAAACGATAAAATCTGGCTGGTCATCGAAGGTCATCACCATATTGTTCGCACAGGGTTCTACAATAGGTTAGGATACTGTCAAACGCAGGAAAGGGATCTTTTCGTATATTTCATTTAATATTTTGTTTTCATTTTGATTCGAATTATTTATTTATTTCAAAATCGCTCAACTATAACATGGAGATAGACACCTTGCCTTGGAATGTACAAGATGCAGTGTTCTCGAGCGAACCAATGGCGCAATGTTTCAGAATTCACTGCACTATTGTCATAAAAGCTAGATAATGACGTCAAGTAGGTTGACTCTACACTTCTCACGCATCGGTGTCATCAGTTTATGAAGGATTATTGTCAGACCTAAGGAAATAGGAGACAGCGCCATTGACCTTATATATTGGATCGAGAAAAGTTACTATGCATTCATTCGTTGTCCCAGAGACTAAGACTAGACCATGCTGATGAGTTTCCAAAAAAGCACGACTTATAGCTACCTGTGGTTGGCTGTCTTTGGCTGGAACGGAGTGTTTAAGTTAGACTCTAAGAAAAAAAAAACATGTATAACAGAGAAATCAAACAGGATCGTCAAACAGATCTGCACAATTGGTCCATAATATGATTTTCCTTCCCTACCCGCAGTTCCGTTCATCTGGCAACGCCGTGTCGCCTATCCCCAATATCTGAAATCGTGACAGGGACGCTTGTTGAAAACATTTTTTAATCGTTCTAAGTTTAAAGGTCAAATGTACAGGGTAATCTATGATGTGTGAAATAAAAACCAATGAGCGCTAAGTTACCGAAGGTCTTAACTACACGGATAAAACGGTAGTTATCAATCTTTGGAAAAGTCAAATTTATGTGTCCTATTACAAGCAGTGGAAAATACTTTTTCACCAAATGAAGAAATTTTTGTTTTTCATTTTTTTGTAGATTCACCATAATATATGCGTTTATTACTATCAGTTGGCTAATATCTGTATTCGCTATGTGCGAAGTGGGTCGTGGGGGAAGTCAAATCGATCGCAGCATGTGATGTAGCAGAGATGTGAAATAACTTAGGAGGTACACATATCAAATTCCTGTATACGTTGTTTTGAAAGTAAATTTTGTTTGTCCCTTCAGTGCACAGTGATTCCTCCATAGGTCAAAAATCGCAAAAACTCATGGGTCTATGAAGGTCTAAATGAGTCACTAAGTTATCGAGTAGGCGCGAGGCTTTTAAGAAATATAAATGACAATGCAATTAGTTCAAACTGTCATTTACTTTCGTCCATCGCAAGTGCAGCTTCTCGAGTCTAATTACCGGGACGTGTACGTCATTGCAACTTACTTACCTTTTTTCTTGGATTATAATTTCAAGCCTAGTGTTTTCATGTAGTGATAATATGGAGGTGCAAGAATATGGTATGTACTCGTATTATTTACCTGTTTTATGTAAAAAGATGCGTTTTGGAGTTTTATATAATTTTTTTATTAAACTTTGTTTTTGCTAGATTTTTTTCCTATAAAATTTATTTCGAGTTATACACTTTTGGCTGCACCTTCCTGCAACTAAGATAAATGTTATCTATATTAGGGGCATATAGGTTTCATCTGCATCTTGCTGCCCCTTCTTAGGTTTGTGAGGTGCCGAACCATAATATATGTTCACATTACAGAAAAAAAGAGATGTTTTCCAAATCCAATTTTGTTGTTGTTTTAGATAATTTTTCTAAGTATTCTGTTTCGAGTAGGACTATTTTTTATATTTGGCACTCTAAGAAGGGTAGTGGTTTATGAAAGGTACCTGTTAAAAAGAGTTTGTCAAAATCTGTGTTGGATTTGTTAAATTAATTGTTTCCATTAAAATGTATTATAAGTATTAGAATTTATAATGTTTTATTTTATTTCTTTTATATAAGCTTGATCTAAAACAATATCTAGAACAAAAACACTGAGAAACAATTTTTAGTACCTACTTTTCTTTCTGGTAAAGAATTTTATAAATTGTATTTTAAGGTTTAAGATACAATAAAAAGGATAATTCTAAGTTATGTATTTACGGCGGCCCTAGTATGGAAGGGGAATCACTGTGCAGTGGTGTCATAAGGTTGTTTGAAATCGTTGAAAGACATGCATAGTTTTGAATTCTGTTCCTGACTGTCATTTTGGATCATTTCAAGTAAATACTTGATCTGATGTGCCTCCCTCCTCTCTAAGACCAGCCTGGTATTCCCCAACTTGTTCGTCATGCAGTCTCTTAAGTCTGTTTCTTATATTCTAGCAAGCACCTTGTACGAGACACCTATAATTTTTGCATAGCGTCCCATATCCGCTTTTATATACGGAGCCTGAACCAGTCCTCGGGAAATATTTTTCTATGCCAGGTGCTTTCAATTACATTACATATTCTTTCTGCAATTTTTCTCGTCTTTGATTAAGTATTTCCGCAATTATTCTGTTTTCCCTTCCACTCCTATTATCTTTCATCTTCATTATTTCGCTGTTTCATCTTTTTGAGAGTTTTTCCTAAGCATTCCTCCTTTCCTTCTGTTATAGCCCATTGTATTTGCATTCATTCTTCATGTATGTCATTCTTTCCTTGACTTCCTTGAAGTGTTTATGTTGGCTTGTAATGTTTCAACCACACCGTTTTCTTGCAGACGACCAATATTGTATTTTGATCTTCCTTTATTGCTAGTTGGCTTCAATGATGGTATTTGTTGATAAAACGTTGATATGGTCAGGAAGTGATCGATATCAGTATCTGCCACCCTGAAACTCCTGACGTCTTTTATATCTTCCTCATAAGTATTTTCTATCAGCACATAGTCTATATGATTTTTTGTTCTTCTGTCCGGTGAGATCCATGACTCCTTATGAATGGATTCATGATCAAAGCTTGAACTTTTCATTTTCTACCGGGCTAATAAATATTTCTCCATTTCCAATAGTTACTTCATGTTTCCTTTTCCTAATATCTGATTAGCTTCTTCATAAAGGTCGCTTTAAACATCTATTTCATTAGTTTATATTTATTTTACTTATTCTCCCCGCTACTGCTTCAAAATCAATAATAATGGACTCTGCAAATTTCTTAGTTTAATATGCACCACAACCTTTTTTAAGTGCTGTCATTTGATTTTATTTGATTTCTACGGAAAGCAAACCAAAAATTTTTA